TAGCATCCATGAATAACATTAATTTGGAGTAAGATTTGACTTTCAACACAAAATTATGAGCAATAAAAGCAATTAAAAAGTAAAAAGTATTTGAGGTAGCTGGTATTAGCTAGCAAAAGAAAAAAATAATAATGCACAATAATGTAATATTAAATAATAATAATGCACAATAATATAATACATGTATAATATATATATATATATGCACCACACATATATATGTGTTAAGGACACTTATCTAATCTGTTACAGAAATGTTAGCTTTTCTAAGGAAGGTAGAGAAATCATGTTCATTTGAGATGGTGTATTGTTGTCCTGTTGAAGTTTTTCTAATTAGTATTTTCCCATCTCGAGTGAAACACTGATGTATTTTGTTTTCCTGTTTAAGTTTTCTCAACCTGAACAGAAGGCTTTGATGTTTTCTCGTTAGACACTCGTTGATGAACACTCCATTTTTCATTGTGATTGCTGATTTAATTAAGTCCTTTCTTTTATCATATGAATGAAGTCTGCTCATAATACTGTGTTTACTACCTTGTTTTCCTAACAAACGTGTTTCTTTGATTTCATTGTTTTGCACGATAACATGTACATGGTTCTGTATTATCCTGATAGCAGTTTCTTTGCACTGTTCTTGGGTTATGTCACTTGGAATGTGTGGACTGTTTAATATAACTGCATCTGACAACTTATCTTGTTCAGTTTTGTCATCTTGGAAATCAAGGTATTCATTCAGTTGAGTGTGCATGTTCTGATTCCAGTCCTTGATTGCTTCTTCAACCTTCATATTTAGAGTTGTTATTTGCTCAGTGTGACTGGCTATAGCTGCTTTCAGAGTATTTTCTGTGTCAGCACTTTCCGAGGTAATCTTCTCTTCAAGGTTTTGGATCTTGTTCTCGAGGTTGGTTATCTTGGATTCTCATCGCGCAAGTGTTGCTTTAATATCTTTGATTTCGTTTTCTAGAGCAACGATGTAGTCCCTGATATTGTCAGGAATAATCATACCTGAGTTATCATCGGTGAATCCTTTGAAGGGAGTGGAGTTGGAGGGGGAGTCAGCCATGTTTGTTGTTGTTGTTCTCTGGGTGGCGGTGGTGAGGGGGGTTGATGATACACCGGCGTCCTGTTGGGTAGACAAGTCAAGTTTTAGGGTCCTTGGTGTTATTCTTTTCTTACTGCTATTGTTTCTTCTGCAATATCCTTTCATAGTATCACTAAAGTAGATACTGTGTAGCTGTGGAGGAGAAGGCTTGATTTCCCTGAGCTTGGGTTAAGTGATTGTCTGGCAGCGGAGGCAGTGTTTTGGTTAGCAGGGCTGTCTTCCTTAGATCTTCTATTTTGTCAAGATTTTGGTTACATTCTTAGTATTCTTGGGTCTTTTTGTGGTCTATGTGGGTTCATGTAGTTGTACCTTCAATTAGGCCATCACAGGCTTTGATGAGTGATGGTTTCTTGAAGAATAAGAGTTGCTAGGATGCCGGTGCTGCCGCAGAGAAAGCTGGTAGGCCTACTCACCTCTCACCCTACATTAAGGCTACAAATATTTTAAGGTAATTAAAGAATGTACTGTACGTGTATTTTATCGCTCTGGGGTGCTTTAATTAAATGTCATAGCATATTACATGTGGGTGGGGGGGTCTGCTGACCTGGCTGGCTACCATACCTCCCAAACCTGACTTCATAAAACTCACCTCTCACCCTACATTAAGACAAAAAATATTTTAAGGTAAATAATGGGTACACTGTGCGTATTTTACTTTTTATTGTTTTTAACCCTTCAGGGTTTCGGCCGTACTAGTACGGCTTATGCACCAGGGTTTTTGACGTACTAGTACACCTAAATTCTAGCGCCCTCAAATCTAGTGAGAGAAAGCTGGTAGGCCTACATATGAAAGAATGGGTCTATGTGATCAGTGTGCGTGGTATAAAAAAAATCCTGCAGCACACAGTGCATAATGAGAGAAAAAAAACTTTGACCGTGTTTTTGGAATAAAACAGCGACTTTACACTGTATTTTCATATGGTATTTATTGTTGTATTCTAGATTTCCTGGTCTCATTTTATAGAATGGAAGACATACTACAGAAATTGGGATGATTTTGACTGGTTTTACAAAGAAAATTACCTTGAAATTGCACTCAAAGTAGCAGAAATGTTCGATTTTTACCAAAGTTCAAAAGTAAACAGATCATGCTATGCATCCAATACACGTCAACTGGTGAGTCTAATATTCTTTCACAAGTGCGCTGATAATATTTATACCGTTACCAATGCAGTAGTGTGCATAACAGTAATTCTTCTATTTTTTTGTGAGAATAAAAATTCAAAGTGGAAAGCAAAAGAATGTAAGAGGGTGTTGGGACGTGACTAATGAACAGAGGAAATGCTATTTTAGTGCCAGGAATGTCTTTCTTGTTTATTCTGGACCCTATTCGAAATTGGCTTCTTTTGAAATTTGTGTGAAATTGGCAAAATTGCTAAATTCTGACCACTGTATTGGATAGTTGAAATCGGTAAATGGGTGGTTTCTTGTACTCACTCGATAGAAAAAATGGAGTTCTAGCAAAATAGTTATGATTTTTGTCGACAAGTACACTGGAATTGGCCGAAAATAGGGCTCAAATTGGGCAAAAATCGCCGATGCATAAACATCGTCGAGACCGCTAACTTCATGAGAGCATAATTCCGTAAGTTTTCCATCAAATTTCATACTTTTGGTGTTATTATGATCGGGAAAAGATTTCTATTTTTTCTTAAGAAAAAAATAATTTTTTTTTTTAAATTTGGCTGACCCTGAGAACAAGTCTCTGAGAGGGCCTGTCAACCTTGAAAGGGTAAATGCCTAGTTCTATTACTAATTTAATATATGTTAGTGTAGACTTGTTATCTGGCATTTATATGCATTTATAAGAGGAAAAAATGGCGTTCTGCTTTCCAGCGATGTTTGCTTTCCAGCAGTAACCTGGAACCTAACCTGCTGTATAAGTGGGGCTCTACTGTATTACAAAAACAGAGACGATTTTGAATATTTTCATGATGAAAAGTACCTTGAAATTCAGGTCAAATTAGTGGAAATGTTCAATTTTTGCCAATGTTCAAGAGTAAACTAATTAGGCCACGCATCCAATACACGTCAACTGGGGAGTCTAATATTCTTTCACAAGTGCGCTGATATTATTTATACCATTTTTACAATAATGCAGCAGTCTGCTTAACAGTAAATTTCAAAATGGAAAGCAAGAATAATATAAGAGGGGCCTGGAGACGTGACTTAAGAACAGTGAAAATGTTATTTTAGTGCCAGGAATGTATGTCTTGTTTATTCTGGACCCTATTTTGAAATTGGCATCTTTTGAATTTTGTGTGAAATTGGGCAAATTGCCAATTTCTGACCATTTATTGGGTAGTTGAAATCGGCAAATGGGTGGTTGCTTGTACTCAGTCGATAGAACAAGTGGAATTCTAGTGAAATAGCTATGATGTTAGTCGACGGGAACATAGGAATTGGCTGAAAATAAGGCTCAAAGTAGGCTTGTGTCCTGGCAGTGCCGTTTCCTCCTGCGTGATGTAGGTCCTCTGGCATTTTCTTCCAAAAGAGGCATGTTTCGTCACAATTGAACAGTAGTTGGGGACAAATTCTTCTGCCTCTACAGAGACCTTGAATTCTTGTATGAGCTTTTCAGCCGCACTTTTGTCAGAACTTGCAGCCTCGCCATGCCTTACCACACTGTATGCCACTGCACTTCTTAAATCTCTCAAACCAGCCTTTGTTGGCCTTAAATTCACTAACATCAGCACTCGGTCCGGCATTTTCTTTACGAGATCGCCATGCAACTGCTTTGCCTTTTCACAAATTATCGACTGCATAACACTATCTCCTGCTAACTGTTTTTGGTTGATCCACACCAACAACAAATTCTCAATATCTTCAAGTATTTGTGATCTCTTTTTTTGTGAGCATATCTACCCCTTTTGCAACAACAGCTTCTTTGATGTCCTTTTTTTTTTTTGCCACGATGGAAGCAATGGTTGTATGGGGCTTCCCATACATCCTGGCAGGATGGGCCACACGCACACCACTTTCATATTTTGCAATGATTTCTTTCTTGAATTCTATTGTGTTTCTCACATTCTTTTCCAAAGGGCTGGCACTAGAAGCTTTCTTTGGGCCCAGGGTGGCTTATTTAGAAGTTTCAAGCACAAAAAAGAATGGAATAGTATTACGAAATGTATCGTATGAACTCGTGGGGCATGGGGTGATGGTCACTCACCAATAAACAATGCCACACAGACTGGAAATGGTGTGTGGGGCGCCTTTGTGTGGCACGGGTGCTGGGAGGCCACTATATGCGTTCCGGACGAGCGACAAATGGCGAGGCTATATTTTGATGAAAAAAGTTGTCGATAGTTGAAATTTATGAAGTGCAAGGCTAACGAAACTCGAGGGTTCACTGTAATAGAACATTATTAATATGCAATATTTTTGCATGTTTTTTGTTGTAAACAAGTTTTGTAAACACTATACACCCTTTCCTCAACAACGGAGTTATGTTCCTAAGACCACACCAGTAAATGAATTCGTTGGAAAATGAGGAGCATACTATAATGGTAGTGAGTTTGTGTCATCCATCTTTGATATTGTTTTAATGTCACCTTTGCACCATTCATAACATTCTTAGTAAATTTTTAAATGTTTATACAGTAGTGTACTGTATATTGGAATAAACAAATTAGAGGAAATTAGTTCCAATATACATTATTTAGGTTTGCATATTGGTCAGAGAGCCCATTGTAGGTCTGATTCATTGGTAAACGAAGTACATCGCTAAGTGAGGAGAGGCTGTAATGATAAAATTATTAGTGCGGTTATTGTGTTGAATTTGAGAGTACATATATACATTATGCATTATATTGGTCTCTTAGGCCACAAACATTACTGGAAAAAAATATTAGAAAAGAAAAAAACTAACAAAAAAGTAAAATAAAAAATGCGACTTTACAGAAGTCGTTGATGTTGCTGCCACCCGGTCACTGAGGGTCAACTTCATGCCTCTATATCTTGGTAAGTACTGATCAGAAATTTCTTGTTTTTGTTTTATTACCTGTAGAAGACATCTTTAATTCTATAAGAATTTTTTTTTTTCGAAAATTCTTGGACCCTGGCTGTCTCTCTGAGGTTTGACCTCTGGACCCTCAAAAGGTTAAAACGCCGACTTTGTGGTGTATTTTCATATGGTATTTATGGATGTATTCTCGCTTTCTTGGTCTCATTTGATAGAATTGAAGATATATTACAGAAATAGAAATCATTTTGAATGGTTTATTGACTAAAAGTACAGTGGTCACTCAATAATCATCCGGCTTGATAGTCGTCCTTTTTGGAAATCGTCTCGTTATTTCGTCCAAACATTGGCTCGCAAATGGTCCGCTTACTCGCTAACCGTCCTTCGTCCGAGATGCGTACTCACGGCTCTGAGCCGCCTCGGCCTCCCTTCCCAGCCAGTGTACCATTGTTTACCAGTGAGCGATGGTCCCCTCACTTGTTCATATGAAATATTTCATAATATTCCATTCATTTTAGTGCTTGCAAGTGCTAAATAAGCTACCATGGCTCCAAAGAAAGCTCCTAGTGCCAAGCCTTTGGTAAAGAAAGTGAGAAATATGATTGAATTTAAGAAAAACATCTTTGAACAATATGAAAGTGGCGTACGTGTGGGCAAACTGGCCAGGATGTATAACAAATCCCGTACAACCATATCGTCCATCGTGGCCAAGAAAAAGGAAATCAAGGAAGCTGTTGTTGCAAAGGGAGTAAATATGCTGACAAAAATGAGATCACCAGTACTCGAAGATGTTGAGAAGTTATTATTGGTGTGGATAAACAAGGAACAATTAGCAGGAGATAGTTTTATGGCATCGATTATTTGTGAAAAGGCTAGGCAGTTGCATGACAATTTGGTAAAGAAATTGCCTGCAACTAGTGGTGATGTGAGTGAATTTAACCCTTTCAGGGTCCGTCCCGTAGATCTACGGCTTCACGTTGAGTGTCCAAACCGTAGATCTACACCAAAATTCTAGCACCGTCAGATTTAGCGCGAAAGCGCTCATAGGCCTACATGTGAGAGAATGGGTCTGCGTGGTGGGTGTGCGTCATAAACAAAAAATCTAGGTCCCCCGCAAGCTTGTGGAACGGGGTCAGTTACCTTGTTCCCCATGCCTCTGAAGTCACTCTACTCCTTAAAAATTTGGACTCCCCTCTTCGTATCTGAGTTTGACACTGATGGAAAGGGAAAAATGAAGACGAATTCTGGCTTTGATCAGAAAAAGCCCAAAAGGAATGCCCCGGTATCGTAATGTGCAAAAACCCCCTGACGATCCTCAACCTTTCCTTGGGGGGCGTCGTGACCACGGTGGGTTGTGCCTAAATGCAAGGGGAAACAAATTTTTTTCGCGTGGCCGGGCCCCTCTGATCAGAAATGATGATGATATGAGTGGATTGTGTTTTTATTGGTCGCGATCATTAAGTGTGATGGAATCATATTCACAGTGAAGCGTCGGTTTTTTCGCCGCCGCATCACTCGGGTAGTGTACCCTATGCTGTCCCCAGGGGATGGAGTCACCCCGGGGAGTTCATCCCTGGCCCTACACCTTTTTAGGTAGTGATAGTGAGGATGATGTGGCCCCTTTGGGGCATGGATAACCAAGCCATCAGGGGAGGGTGTAGTGGGAGGTAGTGGCACGCCATGCGGACTCACCGCCCAGCGGGGACCCACGCTGCGATCACATTCAAGGACAAAGCGGGCACCCACCAGCCCGCACAACCAAACCCCCACAACCACCCTATGATGTCCTATCCCCCAGAAAACCCCATATGTGGGTTGGCAAAAAATCCTATTTTTTTCCCCAACCCTCACTACTTTGAGGACTCTCAAAGTGGAATTCAAACCCTTGCCCCCTTGGGACCAGGCCGTGAACTGGAATTCTTTGAATTATTCTTTGACCGCCTGATGGAAATTATTGTCAGGAAAGAAATAAGATTTTCAGTACACCATGGAAAACGATCATTCAAACAGTCAAGACTCACAGGGGGGAAAAGAGACGCTTTTGCAGAAAATTATTTGTTTTTTCAACATAATGCTTAGCTCTTTGTTAAAAGCTAAATAAAAGAAGGTCCACAACGGCTAATTTCTACCCAGTCTTCGTGAATATCCCGGGGAAAATTTTATCTTATTTTTGATTTGACTTTCGACAAAACCGGGCCTGAAGAAGTACAGGTTATATAAGATTAGAAATTTTTTCATGTATTCAAAAAAAAGTTCAGCATATACTTTCCCCATTCAGAATGTTGTAATTTGACGAGTCTTTATTTTGTTCAAAGGTAGATGTCTTTAAGCATATATACCGAGCAAGAGGAAAACGTTTGGTATAAAAACTGTTTGTACTCGTGACTGTGACAGTGGCCGATTTTGGATTTGTTGTATACAGGGGAAGTAAAAATTGAAAGAAAACCAAGATGTTATTGGGATTCAGGTGCCTAGTGAGAAACATGAGGGACCTTATCTTGGTAAGGGGCATACTTTATACATGGACCCTCGATACGTTGGCATCCATAACTTTAAAACCCGCTACCGTACTTTTCACTAAAATTTTCCCTGCTCCCGCTAAAAAACTCGTCAATGCTATTCGTCCGAGGGATCTAATGTGCGGCCTGAGCCAGCCTAAATGTTCCCCCCAGGCATTGTTTACAAGCCACCTCCGCGGTAAATCCAAGATACAATGGAAAAAATTTCTATTATTTCAGCTTTTTTGGGGGTTTCATCTGCAAAAAAGTGCCATGGGCCCCAAAAAGCTTTAGTCTAACCCCGTGGTAAAAAGGGTGAGAAATACTATCATACCACGTCAGTGCTCTGACCCGGTCAGCTGTTGTGGACCCCGTCAGGTTGCTGGGTAGTCAGTGCTGTTGCACCACGATCAGCTGTTGCTGGACCAGTCAGTGTTGCTGGATCAGCAGCTGCTGCTGCACCACGATCAGCTGTTTCTGGACCAGTCGTGTTGCTGGATCAGTCAGTGCTGCTTGCACCATGATCGCTGTTGCTGGGGTGTCATGTTGCTGGGTCAGTTGTGCTGCTGCACCCCAAACGTGTTGCTGCCCACAATCAGCTGTTCGGTCAGTCAGCTCTGCTGCACCACGATCAGCTGTTTCTGGATCAGTCAGCTGCTGCTGCACCCGATCACTGTTGCTGGACCAGTCAGTGTTGCTGGATCAGTCAGCTGCTGCTGCACCACGATCAGCTGTTGCGGCCCGTCAGTGTTTGGTCAGTACCTGCTGCACCCCGTTCAGCTGTTTGCTGGGGCAGCAGCTGTTTCGGGGCCAGTCAGCTGTGGCCACCATGTCATGTTGCTGGGCCATCACTGTTGTGGATCATCGTTGCGCTGCACCACGTCAGCTGTTGCGGACCCGTCCTGTTGCTGGATCAGTCGTGTGCTGCACCTGACAGCTGTTGCTGAACCAGTAGCGTTGCGGATCAGAGTGCTGCTGCCCTTTCAGCTGTTTCTGGACCAGTCGCTGTTGCTGGGGCCAGTCAGTGTTTTCTGGACCCGCAGTGTTGCTGGACCATCGCTGTTGCTGGACCAGTCAGCTGTTGCTGGACCAGTCAGCTGTTGCTGGACCAGTCAGCTGTTGCGGGCCAGTCGCTGTTGGGACCCTCGGCTGTTGCTGGACCCGTCAGGGGTTTTTGGACCCGTCAGCTTTGCTGGACCGTCATTGTTGCTGGTCACGGTCAGCTGGCTGGGTCACGGTAGTTCTCTGCACCACGGTCAGCTGCTGTTGCACAACTTTCAGTGTTTCTGAATATACTCGCCGAATCTGTCCGAACCCCGTCCCTTCCGCCTGAAGCCTGCCTTTCTGTCATTTTTTACAACCCGGGGGCTGGTTGCATGCATACATTCGATCTTTTTGTATTATTTTATTATTTATGTGTTGTAACTCTAAATAAGCCACCTGGGCCCCAAAAAAAGCTTTTAGTGCCCAAACCCCGTGGAAAAAGGGGGGAATAAATACTATCGTACCACAGTCAGTGCTGCTGCACCACGGTCGCTGTTATTGGCCAGTCAGTGTTATTGGGCCCGTCAGCTGTTGCTGCACCATTGGGCAGTGTTTTGGACCACGCTGATGCGCACACAGTCAGCTGTTATTGGACCGTCGCTGTTGCTGCACCACATGTGTGCTGCACCGGTCAGCTGTTGCTGCACCAAGCTGCGCTGCACCAGGTCACTGTTGCTGCACCACAGCTTCCCGCTGCACCATGGTCGCTTTTGCGCACAGTGCGCGCACCTGGGCACGTTGCTGTCCTAGCTCTGCGCACCATGGTCACTGTTTTCTGTTCCCAGCTGCTGCGCACCTGGGCAGCTGTGCTGCACCACGTAGCTGTTGTTGTTTTCTGCACCACCATCAGCTATTTATCGAAGATGTGGAGAGAGTGTTGTTGGTGTGGCTTAAAGTGAAACAATTACCGAGAAAAAAATAACCCCCGGGGGGTTTTCCCCCCCGGATATCCCCAAAAAAGTCGGTGCATCATCGGGACTGTCTAAATTATTTCCATTGTGGCCTTAATCTTGTCCCCCGGGTGCGACCCAACAGTCAACTAAAACCAGGTAACAGGAAAAAAATGCCGGAACTATTGTCAATTGGTGGGTTGTGGGGAGGGTGTGGAAAAGTTGGTGGGGGAGGACAGTGAAGAACTAACCATGATGAGCGCTAGATCTTTTCAAAAGCAAAAGGCCAGACCTGAGGAAACTGCTCCAGAGGAGGGGAGAGAGAAAATTTAGAAAATTGCCTACTTCAAAGATTTAAAAAAAAGTGGCAGTGTGGCTTAAAGTGCAAACCTTTATGGATGAAAATCACCCTCACACAGCTATTGCAAGCCGTGCTGGCGACTATTACACTGACAATGTTGTGAAACACTTTAGGAAAGTCATAAAGGAACGAGAGGTACAGGCCTCTCTGGACAGATATGTTGTGCGACAGAGGTCCAGTGACTCTCAAGCTAGTCCTAGTGGCAT